TGAGAGCTTCTTTATAAACTTCAAGGAGGTGACAAAGATGCAGACTAGTCAATGGATCCTAATAGTTTTGGGATGATAAGAAAATATACATATGTATACACCTTTACCTTTGGGAGGGGGGTCATGACCCCCAGGCTGAAGACCACCGACAAAACATGGGGCCAAATGATGTTCCCAAATTATTTAGATTTGATGTTGGTCTTTAATCCTATTCCCTTTTGCATTGGGTGCTGGCTCATCTTGGCCTTAATCGAAGTTAGAAATCCTAGACACAGTTAGAAATCATGGCGGCTTTGGTTGAGCTGTTTCCCTCTCTGGAGTTTAGTTTCCTCACCTAGACACTAAGGTCCCTTAAATGCCACGTCTGGCTCTCATATTCATCGATGCGCAAGTCCCCGTGTCTCCTACTGTGATTGTAGTTTCCTGGGGGCCCAGACTGGGAATGAGGTTGAGGGGATGGCCTTCAGAGCCTGGCCAGTGTGGCTCAGTTGGTTGGAGCATCACCCTGTACACCAAAAGATCATAGGTTTGATTCCTAGTCAGGGAACACACCTAAGCTGTGGGTTCGGTCCCCAGTTGGGGTACATACAACAAAAGCAACCAGTCAATGTTTTTCTTTCAAATTTATGTTTCTTTCTTTCTCTCTCTCTCCTCTCCTCTCTTTAAAATCAATAAACATGTCCTTGGATGAGGATTACAAAAAACAACAACAAAAAACCAACGTTCTTCTAAATTTGTATTATGTGTATGGCTTTGTTCTCTTACTTTTCAATATCTGGTTTATCTGAAATATATTAGACCTCTCCTCTCCTTTCCTCTCCTCTCTTCTCTTTAAAATCAATAAACATGTCCTTGGATGAGGATTAAAAAAAACAAAACAAAAAACCCAAAAAACCAACATTCTTCTAAATTTGTATTATGTGTATGGCTTTGTTCTCTTACTTTTTAATATCTGATTTATCTGAAATATATTAGATTTAAGAGAGAGAGAGAGAGAGAGAGAGAGAAAGAAAGAAAGAAAGGAAGGAAGGAAGAAAGAAAGAAAGAAAAAGAGAACGAGATGGGCTCCAGGCTGCACTTCCCAGGTGAGAGAGAGAGAGAGAGAGAGAGAGAGACGGACTCCAGGCTGCACTTCCCAGGCGAGGCCAGAGAAAGAACAGGAAGGATCTGCACCTTGTGGCCTAAGGGGAAAGTGACCAAGGTCAGGGATGCCTTTCTCTCAGCCCCCGGCCACCCATGTTCAGCCTGTTCATCTTCCCCCCACCTCCCAATTCTGGGAATGACACCAAGTGGTGAGGGTAAGGAGCAAAGTGGAGGAGGCTCTTGGAAAAGTGCCTCCAAAGCCGCTGAGCATTCACTCATTTATTATTATTGAATGTCTGCTGTGCTAGGCAGGCTTTGTTATCAAAGAGCTTGCAGTCCAATGTAGCCAGCTGTGTAGCTAGGTCTGGCCATGTGGAAGCAGGACAGGAAAACAAGACAGGATTGGTCACTGGTTCCTTCCTGACAGCTCTCCAGTTGTCATTTGCATGTGAGTGTGGGGGATGCATGAAAATGACCTCTCCAGTTCCTGGTTTCCTGAGACATTTGTGTGGTTCTGGGCAGCCCTTTCATAGCACTGGCCCACCTCACAGCCAGTCGCCCAGCTGGCCTGGTTTGGGGGGACTTAGGAGTCCTTTTGCAATTCTCAAGAAAGCACAATGCAAGGGGTCTGTGGTGGAGTCTCCTCTCACCACCATCCTAATGACCCTCAGAACAGCTTTTCCATGAAAGGAGAGGGCTTGGTGCCACCCATCACATTACCTGTGAGCCCTCAAGCCTGGCACTGCAGGTTCCCAGCTGCCACTCCTCAGGCCCTGCGTATGTACTTATACAACCCTCTCCCACTTGGGGCAGGAGCTGGACGGGCACTGCCGCTGGGGCTGGGAGTAATTATGGCATTCTGCAGGGAGGTGGCACACTCATCACGTTCTAGCCATCTTCCCCAGAATTGCCTTTGATCCAGCTTTTTGCTGGGAAAGTAGCCATTAAGAGATGTGTATCTGTGGTTGCATTTACATGGGAGAAAAGAAAATACATTGGCAAATGGATGGTTTCATGTTCCCAGGGCTGGCTGCCACCCAGTCTGTGTCAGGAGTCCTCAGAGCGACCTGGGAGGGCACCAGCCCCTGCCTGACACTGCCATGGAGCCATTGGGAGGCCTGGGAGTGAGTGAGCTCCCACATCTCCAAGGAAGGTACCCAAGGTGAGGGCATCTTCTACATGGTGTGTTCAGGTGTCAGAAGACATTCTTCCTCCTTACCCCACCCTTTTTTTTTGTTCTTTGAGCAAATGAAAGGACTTTGGGGGTTTCTCAAGTCTACATAATTATATTATTTTTTTGCTTTTACAAAATAACCTATTAATGGAAATCCAGAGACCAGTGAAAAAACAAACATATTCCACTGGTTACCCATAATTCCATTGTCCTAAAATAACTAGAATGTTGACAAATTTTTTCTATTATTATTATTGTTATTTATAGAAGTATTTGGTTAAACATAGTTGCTTTACACTATACATTTTAGTGATCATGTAATATTCTATCAAGTAATAGTCCAAATTTAATCAGATCCCTGTTAGAGATTTAAATTTTTCTGTCACACTGTGATAATCAGCTTTATATAACCTCCCCCCACCCATTCGGAACTTGATTTCTTTACATAGATTTCAAGACATGGAACAATTGGGCTGAAAAGTTGAATCATTTTATCATTTTCATTCTTATTCCCATGTTCCTCGAATTCTTTCCTAAAAGGATTTTTTTGTCTATTTGCACTCTCACCAATACTCTTTAGCACTAGACTGTGGGCTTTGTTATTTAAAAGTGATCTTTAAATAGATGAAGGAGGACATCACATTGTTCTATGTCTTTCCCCTCTCTCTTCCTTCTTTTATATTTTAAAAATATGTTTTTATTGATTTTAGAGAGAGAGGAAAGGAGAGGGAGAGAGAAACATTGATTGGCTGCCTCCTGCACACCCCCTACTGGGGATGTAGTCTGCAACCCGGGCATGTACCTTGACTGGGAATCAAACCAGCGACCTCTCCGTGAATGTGAGGACGCTCAACCAACTGAGCCACAGCAGCCAGGGCTCTCCCTCCTCCTTTTTGAGAGATGATGAGGGTGGAAGAATTTTCAACCTGTCATCAACAGTTGACCACAGGCCCCATTAATGCCCTAAACTGGGCTCCCGAGGTTCCCCCGGTCCAGGAGGCACACACTGTACGCCCTGGAGTATGGGTGCCAGGCTCCCATTCTTGCCAGGAGACCAAGACCCCAAGGCCTCCTCCTGTCTGAGAAAGCAACTAACCGTTTTCACATCTGGAAAATGAGAGGGTTACCCTAAAGGCCTTGCCAGCTCTTTTGTCCTGAAAGTCTGCTTCTGCAATGACCTTGGTCTGGTGGGTATTGCAGGTGCCTTTTCTTGGGCCCAGTTTGGACTCTGTACTCTCTGCACCCTTTGTTGTCCTGAACTACCTTCTAGACTCAGAAGGAAGGAAAGCTGTTTAAGTGCCACCACTCCACAGGGAGCCAGCCCACATTTGGCCTCCCGTTACCTCTTACTGTGACAGCAGAGAATGCTAACCCTCCTCCCACTTGAGTGTGGTGGACTGTGATGGTGGCACAGCTCTTTCCCACTTGGTCAGAGGGGTGGCTCAGGCCCTCCTAGCAATCACTTTTTTTCCTGGAAATAACAAGAGCTCCTCATGCCCAATCCATCAACGCGCTGGGTCTGCACTGGGCCAAGGACCTTCCCACACGGAGGGGCCCTGGGGCGGGGCGGGTGGAGGAGACCACCCCTGAAAAGGAGCGGAGACAGATGGAGAGAGAGATGAGGGAGACTGAAAGGGTGGCAGTGAGTCCAAGCTCCTGAAGTCCTGGCACCTACAGTTCTGTCTTTAATTCCATGCCTCCCCATCCCATCCCAATATCCTTTCCAGGGACTTGAAATGACACATTCCCTTTTGTGAATTAAGCTGTTTGATGTGCACTCTCTTTAGCTACCTGTAAGTAATCCCCACTAACGTATCAGCTGAGAATGTTTTTCCTGGTCATTTCTAATAGAGGTCCTCCCAGATGTATTCTTTTCTATTCTTTTGTACTTAAGTTTTTCTTTTGAAATTTTATAGATGCACAGAAGGCTGCAAACATGGACATCCCACTTTACCATTCACTGGAACTCTTGTCAATGGCAATCTGTTACATAATTGTAGTTCAGGGTCAAAGCCAGCCAACTGACATTCATGTCATCTACAACGCCTGTTTCGTTTTTTTAAAGAATACCTAGCCATGCTCACAGGTGTAAGTTAGAACCTAACTATTGCAACAGGAGACTTGCAGGCTGGTGAAGAGCAGCACAGGGCAAGTAAGTCCAGCGGTGCCATTAAGTTCAGGTGCGTGGTGTCACACCTGGGCAGGTGCATTGTGCTCCCCTAACTAAGCACTTGCTATATCCCAGTAAGCCAGGCGCTTGGCCTTTAACTCCTTAAGCCACACAACAACCCTGTATCGCCAGCACTATTAGCATCATCATTCCTTGTACAGAGAGGAGAAAACCAAGGCTCAGAGAAATTAAGCAACTTGCTTACGGTCACAGAGTAGTTAGAGAGCAGAGCTGGGGTTTAAATCCACGCAGCCTGGTTTCAGAGAGCTATGTCCAAGCGTCGGGCGATGGGTCTCAAAGCAACAGGTAGGATTCTTTTCCTGAGCCTTCCAGGACCTTTCCTAATATCCCTCTCCTCTTTCACCCTCATGCTGTCTTCCTCCCTCATGCCCACTTGGTCCCTGGGGTTAGCCACTTGAACAGCCATCTTTATGGCTCTCGGGCTGTGCTCTTACAGGGAGGTGTACCCTGGGTGCACCCTCAGAAGATGCCATCTCTCTCTATGTAGCAGGTGAGGCCAGAGGAGACACTGTCTTCAAAGGTCGTTGATCGTAGAAGGCCGAGGTCTTGGCCTCACTCCTCAGGGATAGCTTCTTGGGGGTTTAGTGCTGGAAAACAACAGATACATCGAAAACTGCCAAAAATACCCCACAAAAGAACAACACCCCAGGAGAAGCAAGTCTTGCACAGCAGAGGGACACGTTTACTTGTCAGTTCATGGTTTCAGTTCTCAGCCCCAAGGTGGTGAGCACGTGGAGATGATGGCGGTATGGGGCTGGGTGACGCCCTTGGTGCCTCACTCCGGGGGAGGGCACTGGGGTGGGCAAGGCGGGCATTTAGGAGGACAGGGCTTGGAACACGGTTTGGGAGGGCATGGCGGTGGGCATGGGCATGGCTTGGGACACGGCGGGGGGCATGGCTTGGGACACGGCGGGGGGCATGGGGGGCACTTGGGCGGTGGTGGGCACTTTTCCCGTGGGCACTTTTCAGAGCACCGTTGCAGCAGCTTCTTTAAACAGCTGGGCTGGCATTTGTTCTCAATCTTTGGTTCACATTTTGGGTCACAGTTCTTGGGCTCATTCTTCGGATCGCTTGGCTTATTTTTATCATCACTTGACATTCTTTCTTGATTTTCCGGGCCCTGCAAAGAAATATGTGACAGACTGTATGTGGGGGACCACACTGCAAAGAGAGAGGGGCAGTACAGCCTTCCCATACCTCCTGCCCATCCTGTTCCTAAGAAAGCTTTCCCAGATGTGTTCAGGCTCTAGACCAGTGATGGCGAACCTTTTGAGCTCGGTGTGTCAGCATTTTGAAAAACCCTAACTTAACTCTGGTGCCGTGTCACATATAGACATTTTTTGATATTTGCAACCATAGTAAAACAAAGACTTATATTTTTGTTATTTATTTTATATATTTAAATGCCATTTAACAAAGAAAAATCAACCAAAAAAATGAGTTCCTGTGTCACCTCTGACACGCGTGTCATAGGTTCGCCATCACTGCTCTAGACTAAACTCTCACTTACGGGCTGTCCTCTTGTTGTTTTGGTGGATTGTTGACCACATTTATCGATCTCTCCATTCTTTGCTTTCATTTCACTTTTGTCCCCATTTCACAGCCCCTAGTAGGAGTTCTTAACATAGGGTCCTGGGAACCCCCCGCCCCCAAATCATAAGAACTGTGTTTAACCATGTATTTATCAATATACTCAGTATCTCCTGTAATGTCATGCATTTTAAAACATTAATTTAAGATCAATTAATTTAAAAACATCCCAAAGAGTCTGTAAGTTTGATCAGACTGCTAAGAGGCTCCTGTAAGGCCACTCCCCATCCCTCTGGAGGCGGGATGAGTGTGTATATTAGTTAGTGGGCTTCTGGACCCCGGACACTTCTTTCAATCCTGGGTCCAGCTTAAGTCCTCCAAACCTTGACAACTGATTTTTTCACTCAAGTGCTGGCACGGGAAGATGGCTGCATCCCTACCATGGCTGGACCACTCTAGGAACCCCTCCTACAGAGAGGATGTGATGAACTGGAGAATTCTAATTTCTCTGAAAACATAAATGTTAGGACCACAAAACACAATGGTGAGGAGGGATTCCTTTTCCCTTTGTTAAGTTTTGCCTTGAGCTGGGTCCTCCTCCACGGACGTGTTGACTTCTAGATACAACAGGGGTTTTTAGTTTCTGAAAAGACTTTCAAGTTGGCTTTAATTGGCACCCTTTGATTTAACAATATAAAAGTACCACTTTATCTAATTTAGTCTTCAAATCAGTATTGCTCTCTGGAGATAAAGATCATGAAATTGAACTCCAAATATTGTTAAGAATCTCTCTCTCAAATGATGTGTCTTCCTGTACTTGCTACTGAAAGTGAGAGGAAACTTGTGCCTGGGTCTGGCCACTATCTCAACCTGTTTACTGCCTGGGATGCTGTAGGTCACTCCCAGGAAAGGAGATAAAAACAAGGGGGGCATTTCCAGTTGTACATGCAACTCACCCCTTTGTGTTGGTACTGAACTTGACAAGTAGTCGAGTGAGGTAGATGGTATGGCTGTGCTTGGGAAGGTGGCTTTTCCCTCTGGTTCCCCTGCTCAGCAATGAGGAAGCCGGGGGAGGAGGGAGGGGAGTCCCCCTTGTGACCTCAGCACTGCATCATCAAGTAGTGATTGTTGTGTGACTACTGAGCCTCCAGCTCACCTCAAGCCCTTGAACAGGAGGACGGACTGTGATTAATCACTCCCTTTGTTGTCCTGTCCTCTCCCTGGGTTCTTCAAAATTTGTGCCGGTGAAATCAGGGTATGGTGAAGACCACTGAACTCTAAGGACAGGGAGGCTCATTGTTGCTGGCAACAGAAAAGCTCCGTTTACACGTGGTGTCTTTTTGCTCCCCCAGCCTCCCCAATTTTAACTCCTTTGTACTTGTCCCTTCTCCCCCTTTCTAGGACAGCCTCCCTGGCTTGACCACAGCCATTTCGACTTCCCTTTCCTCTCTATTTTTTTTTTTAATATGAGATTCTGAAGCCTCTTTTTGCTACCCTATATGACTGGCTCAAGTCCAAGGATTATTCTCTCTCTCTCTCTCAAATTCTCACCCAAGGATATGTTTTATAAAATTGATTTTTTTTTTGAGAGAGAGAGAGAGAGAAGCATTGATGTGAGAGAAAACATTGATGAGTTGCCTCCTGGATGCCCCCCCCCGCACCAGGATTGAACCCACAACCTTTGGTGCTCCAACCAACTGATGACACTTCAACCAACTGAGCCACCTGGCCTGGGATTAGCTCTTTAAAAAACAAATTTTTAAAATATGTTTTCATTGATTTTAGAGAGAGAGGGGGAGAGAGATTAAAAACATCAATGATGAGAATCATCGATTAGTTGCTGCACACCCCCTATTGGAGACAGAGCTAGAAACCTGGCATGTGCCCAGACTGGGAATTGAATTGGTGACCTCTTGGTTTATGAGTTGATGCTCAACCAATGAAGCCATACTGGCCAGGCTGGGCTTAGCTCCTTTTCTCAATGTCTCTGGCTATAATGCACTATTTATTGGGCTCTGTGATTTTTTTCCCCAATCAGGGAGTGGACATCCCTTGATATACATGGTAAATAAACACTACCTAAAGAAGTTGAGTTTGATGCTCCTGACCAGCCCAGACCTACTGGGTTAACTCCAGATCCTTAGAGTAGAAAGGTTTGCCTCTGAGAAAATTCCTCCCATGCCTTCCAAAGGTTTGGCCAGTGGGTCTTTGTGGTTGGATTAGGGGTGTGTTTGGGGTGAAATAGGAGATGAGTGTGGGAAAGCAAAGTGGGGCTCAGATACACGGAGCCTGGAACTCGGCTGCAGGAAGTTCATCTTGGCCGTCATTCTTGTTGAGTAGGCAAGACTCACAGGATGAAGTGAGAACACAACTCTATTCCTTCCCTGGATGCCTCTTAACACTCTCTCTGTGGAGCCGGCTCTTCCCTTCCCCCTGGGATGAGGTCTGTGGCAGATGCCGTCGACTTCAAGGGTAAAGCTTGGACAATAACAAGTTCTCTGGTTCCTTCTGTTTATACAAACCATCTTATTCCAGTAATCGGAAGGCCTGTTTCCATGAACACTGGATTTCCTTCTCTTTCCCACCGGGGACAGAAAGAGCATCCTCTCTACCCGGTGTTTCTCTTCCTCTTTCTTCACTCACCCAGGTGCCTCCGGTTCCAGGATGGGAGCTGCAGAGGGAGGAGATAGAAGGGGCAGGAAGGTTCTTACCTAATTGATGCCATTCTGATCTCCTGATATCCAGAAGAAGGGAAACTTGAAGGTGTTCTTCAGGGGACCCCCATCCCCTGGCTGAGGTTTTGATCACAGTTCCTCAATATCAGCAAACATCTCCTTGGCTGGCTGCCCAGAGCTCCTGCAGCTCCTAGGCATTTGGCAGATCTCCCAGCTCTCACTGCTGATTACCTCACCGCCAGGTGGCCCTCTAGGATGGGACTTGACATAGCCCAGAGGGCCAGCTCTGCCTCTCCTGTGGGCCGCATCTGGTCCATGGGAAACGCTTACAACCAGTTGAGCTTACCAAAGTCTTTATATTTTTTCATAAAATGGGAAGAGCCAGAGAACTCAGTTTTCTTTTTTTATTCTTCATTTTTTTAAGATACAATTTAATTTCACTTGAATTTCACAAAAGAAAGAGAAGTTGATGGAATTGCTGAATTCATATAAATATTCCCTATAGATAAGAGACACTTCCTCTAACATATTCCTTCAAGATTAAAAAAAGAAAGAAAAAGAAACTGTGAGAACATTAAAGCTTGAATTAATTACGATTTTTTCCAAGGACATATTTTCTTTTTTGTGTGTACAGACTGACTTCTTGCTGTGAAAGATGAGTTCGTTGGCCCAGCCACTGGGGCATGAACACACAGTTCTGAAAATACGGAAGCCCTTCTGTACCAGTTAGTAAATATCAGTCACTGGACTCTCCCCAGGGCTCTCCCACTCCCCTGGCTGCCCCATCCCACCACCAGGACCAACCCCAACCCCCATCTCCCCAGAACCCAGAGCTACAGGGGGAAGGGGACTCTGGTCCCATCTCCCAGGCCCTTCAACACGCACCACTTTGCCCCAAGCAGCATAGTTCCATCTGTTTTACATAATGGCCCTCGGGTAAGGCTTTGTGTGCAGAAAGTACTCAGTGTGAAAGCCGTTTGAAAACCCCTGCTCAAGGTCAGCCCTCAGGCCCTTGCAAGTTTGCACATTCCCAGATTTCCAAGAATGGAGGCCTTTCTCCCAAACACATTAGCTCCTTGTGAAGTCAAGTGCACATCTGCACCCTGGTGTCATTACCTTGCATCCAAATGGGCAACAGACACAGGCCTGTGGGTATAGAGAGGACCCTGAGCCGGCTCCAAATGGGATGAGGCAGAAGGTGCTGGAGCCCAGGCTCAAGTGGAGGCGGCAGGAAGGGAGTGGGCTTTGCTTCGTGCCCAGGCCTGTGCCAGGTGCTCAAGGTCCAGATCCTCTCCAATCCTACTAGATGTGTTTTTTTGCTCCCTTCCCTTCCCCCCTCCTCCCTCCCTCCCTCTCTCCCTCCTGGCTTTACTGAGCACCTGTCTGTGCCAGGCGCTGGGGTACAAAGGCAAAGCTAGCATCGCCAAGACCTCCCCGCCCCGTGAGAGCATCATCAACAAAATGGCTGTGACCGCGGTGGGTGCAGGATGCAGGGGGAGCCCCAAGAAACTCAGGGAAGATTCTCCAGGAGAGTTAAAGCCGGCTGGGACCTGAAGGCTGAGGAAGGGCATTCCAGATGGAGGGAACTGCATGCGTGAAGGCAGAGAGGCAGGAAAGAGCCCGCCTGGTCTGGGAACTGTGGGAGGGCGAT